CAGAACTTTGAATGTTTGTTTCAGCAATAACTGAGTCCTGTTACTGAAGTCCTGTAGCTCAGTGGTGAGAGCACTCGCCTTGCAAGCGAGACACCTGGGTTCAATTCCAGGCAGGGCGGAACCTTGGGCAAGTTTCCTTACTCCACACACCTAATAATAATCCCTCCAAAACAAACAATAATAAATTGGTCATTTTCAATCCACAACTGTTTGTGGGACACTGCTGTGCGCAATTGGCTGCCGCGTTTCGCCCACAAATATACAGTCAATTCACTTTATAGTCTATTCTGTGAAGCGCTTTGAGACGTCTAGAAGACGTGAAAAGCGCTATATCAGATGCAAGGATTATTATTATTACATAACCTGACTGGGTTTAAGCAGACCTTGTGTTTGTAGCAACAATTAGTGAATCCTTTTCTCTTAAATACAGGGTTGGCTTTTAACCCCTCAATATTTTCATAACAAACTTCAATACAATCCTCAAAACGCAAAGTACTGCAGATGCTAGAAATCTGGTATAAACACAGAAGTTGCTGGGAACTTGCAGTCAGTCAGTTCCATGGAGAGAGGAAAATTAGTTAACATTTCAAGTCTATGACTTTCTGTCAGACCTGCCTGAACTGTTCAATTCAATCCTGTTTGTTGAAGAAAAGTAATTAAAGGCACCAGAAGAGGAGTCTCCTTTTTTTAAAAACAACAGTATTACACATACCTATAATTCATGTTTAATGTTATTGAATGAAGGAAAGATTAAATTATTTTGATGAATTTTAACCAAACTGAATGGTTATTGCTGGGAAACAAATGTTTCTACTTTTCTGCCCAATATCTGCATCAAACAACACAAGTTTGGGTTTTTAATGTGTTAGATGGAGGATCAAGCTCCCACTGCACAATCACTCCTGTCCTAAATTATATATCGTAGGATGTTCTGGCCAGCAGAGGGGGAATTATTTCAGAAATCAGTTGACAACTTCCTTTCCACAATCACATTCCATCTCCTTTAGTGATCCTTTAATACTCAAATATAGGCTGACCTCAGTATAACAAACACGCTGGGGACATGGGAAAAGGATCATTATATCTGGTTTCGCTATAAGAGGTTCACAGGAAATCTGTGATTGGCAACAGAGCACTTTGTGATTGATTGCCGTACCCACGCCATTTTAACTTGCAGATCCTAATATCACGGGCTGAGCTTCTTTAGTGAGTTCTGTATCAGAGTAAGAATCAACAGGAAAAAGCAGATGTCAATTGTCGAGTAAATTTCATAAACTAACACACAACTGTGAACTATAAATTGGTCATTTTCAGTCTACGACTGTTTGTGGGACATTGCTGTGCGCAATTGGCTGCCGCGTACGCCCACAAATATACAGTCAATTCACTTTACAGTATATTTTGTGAAGCGCTTTGGGACATCTAGAAGGCGAGAAAAGCGCTATATCAGATGCAAGGATTATTATTAAAGTGTTAAACAATGCAAGCAATTGGTGTAACATACACTACATTCAGAATTTTCATGTTCACCTGCAACATTATTCTCTCCATTTGTAATATCGTAGACGAGGTTAATTCCCTATTATGAACACCACATAGAACTTCCCTGACAACTCCAAAATCATTCAATTTCTAACCTTAAAGGAGAAAACCCTGGATGCTGTATCAAATAAATCATATGACCCTCTCAATTAGTAACTGCGTAGAGGAGTCTTGTGTGTATTATTTAGCATGTAGAGTAGGCATTGTTGCTACCAAATCATTGACATTAGTTACCTGATCCAGTTATTCAAGTTGGTTAATGTTTTTGTTCTATGTTTAACATTGCTTAGGTTTTCACATAATATTTCTGAAAGTTCCTGCTCTTATCCTATTTGTATTGCATATACCCTTATGATTAACAAAGCTGATACTTCTCGCACAGGTTTATATTTATACAGACTATTGTGGAATGATGAATTTCACTTTTCCCAAGGTGAATTTGTATTTGTAAGATTTAAAGTTGAAAGTGTGACTAGTTTAGAGAGAAGACAAAGTGGAATATTCCAAATTTATCAGCCATAATTAACTCATAATCTGGGCCAATAAAAAAGTGTGGCCGAATTTTTCTGCGGAATCCGCTATAAACAGTATCCTCTGCTATAAAACCGCGACAAAATGATGTTTCTGGCCTCGGGCCTCCGTGAGCTGTTTATCCGACACGATTGTGGGCCGGGTGGCTCCAGACACACATGTGCGGTGAGGTGCAAGCCTCAACTCGGAGGTCCCCCTGTTGAGATTGCCTGTGTGTCTCTCTCTATGTGTGTGTGTGTTTGTGAGTGTCTGTGTGTCTGTGTTTGTGAGTATCTCTGTGTGTGTGTTTGTGAGTGTCTGTGTCTCAATGTGTTTGTGAGTGTGTGTGTTTGTGAGTGTCTGTGTGTGTGTCTCTCTCTGTGTACTTGTGAGTGTGTCTTTCTATGTGTGTGTTTGTGAGCGTCTGTGTTTGTGAGTGTCTGTGTGTGTGTCTCTCTCTGTTATTGTGAGTGTGTCTCTCTATGTGTGTGTTTGTGAGCGTCTGTGTTTGTGAGTGTCTGTGTGTGTGTCTCTCTCTGTGTACTTGTGAGTGTGTCTCTATGTGTGTGTTTGTGAGCGTCTGTGTTTGTGAGTGTCTGTGTGTGTGTCTCTCTCTGTGTATTTGTGAGTGTGTCTCTCTATGTGTGTGTTTGTGAGCGTCTGTGTTTGTGAGTGTCTGTGTGTGTGTCTCTCTCTGTGTACTTGTGAGTGTGTCTCTGTGTGTGTTTGTGAGCGTCTGTGTTTGTGAGTGTCTGTGTGTGTGTCTCTCTCTGTGTATTTGTGAGTGTGTCTCTATGTGTGTGTTTGTGAGCGTCTGTGTTTGTGAGTGTCTGTGTGTGTGTCTCTCTCTGTGTACTTGTGAGTGTGTCTCTGTGTGTGTTTGTGAGCGTCTGTGTTTGTGAGTGTCTGTGTGTGTGTCTCTCTCTGTGTATTTGTGAGTGTGTCTCTATGTGTGTGTTTGTGAGCGTCTGTGTTTGTGAGTGTCTGTGTGTGTGTCTCTCTCCGTGTATTTGTGAGTGTGTCTCTCTATGTGTGTGTTTGTGAGTGTCTGTGTTTGCATGTCCCTGAGCGTCTATGTATTTCTCTCTATGTTTGTGTGTGAGTGTGTGTGTCACTCTCTGTGTCTGTGAGTGTATGTGTCTCTGTGTCTGAGTGTGTGTGTGTCTCTGTGTCTGTGTGTGTCTCTCTGTGTTTGTGAGTGTTTCTGTGTGTCTTTCCTCTGTATATGTGTCCGCTTGCTTGTGTCTCTGTGTGAATGTGTGTGTGTATCTCTGTGTCTATGAGTGTGTATCTCTCCCTGTGTGTGAATGTGTGTCTCTCTCTGTGTGTCTGTGAGTGTGTGTCTGTCTGTCTCTCTCTGGGTCTCTGTATCTGTGTGTGATGCCAGCCCTGAGAGGTGGTGAGCTCCTGTAGCCCCGCAGTCAGGACACTGGTCCTGGGTGTCTGTTTCTTGATGGATCTCCAGGCCCTTTGGGCCTGCACTAGTGTTTGCCCCCTCCCCATGTGGGCCAAAAAATAATATATTTTTTTTGCAGCAATCTAATATGTGTTATTTCCTCGTGTTTAGTTGTTATCAGTAAAGTGAAAAACATGTAGATTGGCAGTAAAATGTACCTCAATAGCACCACTCAACCCCCCACAATTTTCCACAAAATTTGCCACCCCCTACAATTCCCCACAGAATTCAGCAATTTTTGGCAAATATTTTCACACTTTTCCATTGTCCCAGCTCATAATTAATTCTGATTATAAATGAGCTGTAAACCAAGCCTGAAATTTACTCATACTGGTACCCACAGAGATAAAAGTTGAACCTATTGTTATTAATAATTTATTATTTTAATAGTTATTATTGATGATAACCTTTGCAGGCCATGATTTAAAAAAATATTTTCGTTGGAATGGCCCTCTGTAAGTTTTACAAAAGTGCTGGACACATTTCAGAGATGTGTTAACATGTTGCCAATATTGTTATTCCTGGGTAGAGCAATGTGGAGTCCTGTAGCTCAGCGGTTGGAGCACTCACCTTGCAAGCCGGGTTCAATTCCAGGCAGGGCAAAACCTTGGGCAAGTTTCCTTACTCCACACAGAGCCTAATAATAATCCCTCCAAAACAAAACAATAATAAATTGGTCATTTTCAATCCACGACTATTTGTGAGACGGTGCTGTGCACAATTGGCTGCCGCGTTTCGCCCACAAATACATAGTCAATTCACTTTACAGTATATTTTGGGGGCAGGAAGCACTCCTGTTCTTTAGTTATGAGCCACTGTACAGAGAGGCTCAAAAAAGGGAAGAATGTTTTTTAAAAAAGTTTTTCTCTCAGAAGAAAAACGTGTACAGAGATCTTGAGCTTTTCGAACGCCTGTGAGTGATACCCACCTGTTTATTGGATCAGCACCTCTTAAAGAAGCTATTTGTATTGAGGGGGATGAAGGGCTGGAATAAATCATTTCTATTGAAAATGCTTCCTCTTCTGTTCTTGTCGGTAAAACTAATATTCTTTCTAAATCCTTTATGTCCACCAATATGTCACTTTTGTAAAAGACCCAACTTTCTCTTTGGTCATTTAAGTAGCACCACTGACTTGGGAAGGTGTGGGGGTGTCTCAGAGCAGCTTTGTTTAGTTCATTAGGAGACTTTGGACTGGCCAGAAATTTAATTTGTTGATGTCAAAATTAGTAGGCTTAACTGTGCTCCCAAGCATCTATGTGACCAGTCTATGAAGCGTTAAACCTTTTTGCACAGTTAGGATTATAAGTATATCTAACTCTCAAGTGTGATGAGAAGTTATTTGATAGAGTCGAATACAGTATGTGGAATAGTTTATTTTGCAAGAGTAGTTTTTTGCCTATTCAGGTCAACAAAATTAGTTATTGAGGCCATTGTTTTACCCTTATGTTTTGTTTGTGAAATATCATGTAAACCTTGATGATCTCTTTGTAGGAAGCACCACCTGAAAACACAGGGCCGTTGACTTCTGTAGAAGAGAGAAAAGAAAAGGTTCCAAGTCCACACCTGAGCCATCTGGTGGTTCTGAACTCCACTGAAATGTTGTATGGTCTGGCGGAGCGGGTCGTGGCTACTGAATCCTTGTAAGTCACTTCCATATTTATTTCAATGATGGGAGAGAGTGGAATTGAAGAGAAAACAAGATGTTTGATTTTAATTTTCGTAAGAGGAATCCTGCAATTTCATAAAATTTTCTATGAAATCCCCTAGAATGTTTTATGTAATTCTACATTTCAAAAAGTGTAAGGACTGTTAAATGCACAAACTGGTATCTTTGAGATTTATTTCTTGAAGTTTTACTTTACATGAATCATAGAAGCCTTTAACTCAATGTTTTAATGAATTATTTGCTATAAATTGTGTCTTGCTGCAAATTCAAACAGAACCTGGTTTTGCAAAGAAAGAAATTAAAGATAAAAATAAACAGTGCTTCCAGCAGAGCCTGCACTGAAGCAATGAAAAATAGCTCCCTGTGCTGTGTTGATGAGACTACAAATGTCAACTGAACAATGAGATCTGCCAGTCCTCTGTTATACATAACTACCCATTTGTCGTTGTGACTTTTTCATGTTTGTCGAAATACAGAAATGTCACATTATGAACAAATACAGTGGGTTGCAAGGTAAGATAGATTCACTAGAGATTTGCTTGTTTTCCAATTGGAAGAAAGGGAGATTGAAAGATTCAACGTTTGGGGAGAGTGCATGATAGAGCAGGTTACAGATGGTCTTTAGAAGGAAGTATGGTTGATGGGCCTTTTCTCATTATGATTTCTTATATCATTTCTTAGTCCCAGTTTCTTTGAAGATCCAAATCCTTCTGAATCTGGCTACATTGTTCCTCATGATTTGCTGTACCTTGAATTAACCAATATCAATCCAGATTACCAGCAGTCCATTTTTTATTGTTTAATAGTAATGAATAATGGTGTCTACAAATATAAGATATCAAATTTATAATCTAAATTATCCCTAATCTATGATTTACTTGGAGGAAGATAACTTGTCAAAAATTTGCTCATTTATACATAATCTGAAAGGTTGCAGCCATTTTATGCCTCACAGAGCACAGAGCAATTTCCCTGACATCAGTAGTATGAATGTCACTCTTTTTGATATCTTCTAATTATCACCCTGGACAAGAATAAATAGAAATCATTGTAGAGCTCCTCACAGACTGAGCTCAGGGTTGGTAGCTGCTCAGTGCTGCTCAGCAGTTCAGACTTTAAATGATAAGTCTCCAGGAAGCTGTAGGAATATTTTTTTTGTTAGCTGGACTTAATTTAATTAATTGACGTCCTCCCGACGTGAAAGGCGCTATACAAATGTAATCTTGTTGTTGTAATTAGCTGGAGAAGTATCAAAATTATTCACCATATACATGCACACTAGAAACTAAACTGTGTTGATTTGTTCGAGGATTTCTTAATCCCATCAGAATTCTCTGGGGAACTCTGCTCCATAAGTACTGTGTGGACAATAATGCATATTAATGGTAACATTATATTTACATGACTCTGTTTACGTGATTCCTTTTTAGGAAATTCCTGTTAGACATTTTGGATCCCATTATCACATACAAAGATTATTTCGATTATTTAAGTTGCAATGAGATGATGGAAGTGTAAGGAATGGTGGCAACACTAAACTGGCAGTGGGAAAGCTTAGAACCATGAGTGTTAATTTGAAGGGAAAATCCAGTAGCCAGCAACAGTAGCCAGTGAACATTTCTAAACACAAATTTTCGTATAATATATTAATCATATTATTGAGATGTATTATATTAAACCCTGTAATCCTCATTACATTCCAAGATTCAGCGCCTTGGGAAGTCCTCCCGATGTGAAAGGCACCATAGAAATATAATTTTGTATTGTAAAATTACTTTTTTGTTCAAGTAGCAGATATTGCTTGTCTTTTCTGAAGACAAAATGAAAGGTTAACATTGATAGTTATTTAAGGTGTCCTCTAGTTACTAATAAACCCTTCCAGTACGTGCACGCTGTTCAGTTAGAATTGATTTCTCATAACAACAACTAATTACATTTATATAGCACCTTTCACGTCGAGAGGATGTCCCAAGGCATTGAACAGTCAAGGATATACACTTTTCATAATAACTATTACAAACTATTACGAATTATAACTATTAATATCTTATTACTAATAATAACTGATGAGTAATCATAATTGATGAGTAATAAGCTTATCTAACAGTCTTAATACCACTAACCTTACTACAGCAATAGCACATCAGGTCAATCTATATTTTGTCATTTGGTTAGCTGGAAAATGTCCTTGGAACTGTTTTTAGCGAGGTATTGATCAATGTTACAAAAGTGACTCCCACCTCCAAATTGGATTCTCTAGCCATAGCACCAAGTATTGTTACTGGAACATATTGTAGTGGGTGGTGTGGAAGAAATTCTCAAAGCCAGAATTGTTGACACTCAAACTACTTAACAAACTGTGGCAACCACTTGCAGGGAATGTTTCTGATCAGAATGTGCCTTCACTATCAGCTCCTATATAGACCCAGCTTTGGCATGCACAACAAAACCACTTTATATTGGTTCCTTCCTCCTCACATCACAAAATATAATGCTCTGACACAGGGAAGCCTAGACCAATCCATCTCAGGGATGTTTCTCACAATTGCCATTTGGCTCTGACTCTGGAGGTTGTACTCAAAGGATCTTCTTGGTCAGAACATTCACCCAACCTCACCATCTGGAGAATATAAGGTTGGGAGGCCTGTGACATTGTTGTGAAATTTTACAACAACAACAACAAGATTCCATTTATTGAGTGCCTTTCACGTCGGGAGGACGTCCCAAGGCGCTGTACAATTGGGTCAGGACCCGAGCAGGGGGGAAATGGTCAGAGTGAGGGGAGGGAAGGGAGGGAGCGAGGAGGGGGTAGAGAGTCGAGAGGGGAGCTGAAGGCTCGGTCAAAGAGAAAGGTCTTGAGACGGGCCTTGACGGAGGAAAGGGAGGAGGCGGCGAAGGCATTGGGGGATAGAGTTCCAGAGCCTCGGGGCTGAGAGGCTGAAGGCCCGGCCACCGATGGTAGGGCGGTTGGGGCAGGGGATGTGGAGCAGACCGGAGCCAGAGGATCGGAGGGTACGGCAGGTAGGTAGGGGGATAGTAGGTCGGAGAGGTAGGAGGGAGCAAGGCCGTGAATGGCCTTGTAGGTGAGGATGAGGATCTTGAATTCGATCCTCTGGGGGATGGGGAGCCAGTGGAGGGGAGCGAGGGTGGGAGTGATGTGGTCCCGAAGCCTGGTGCGGGACAGTACACGAGCTGCAGAGTTCTGAATGACCTGCAGCTTGTGGAGGGAGGTGGCGGGAAGGCCGGCGAGGAGAGGGTTCCCATAGTCCAGCCTTGAGGTGATAAAGGCGTGGACCAGAGTTTCTGCAGCGTGAGGGGTGAGGTAGTGCCGTAGTCTGGCGACATTCCGGAGGTGATGGAAGGCGGTGCCAGTCGTGGCGCGGATATGAGGGAGAAAGGACAGCTCAGGGTCGAACAGAACGCCGAGGTTCCTGACTGGCTTTGAGAGGTGGAGAGTGCAGCCTTGGATGCTGATGGTGTCAGCGCCTGAGGTGCGGAGGCGCTGACGTGAGCCAATCAGGAGGGCCTCAGTTTTTCGCACGTTGAGCTGAAGAAAGTTGTCTCTCGTCCAGGACTCGATGTCGGACAGGCAGGCTGTCAGGACATCGGTGGTCGTGGAGTTGAGGGTAGAGGAGGAAAGGTAGAGTTGGATGTCATCCGCATACATGTGGAAGTTAACCCCATGTCTGCGGATGATGTCACCAAGGGGGAGCATATAGAGGGTGAAGAGGAGGGGACCGAGGACAGAGCCCTGAGGAACACCGCACAAGACAGTGCGGGGGCCGGAGGAAAAACCATTTGTGGAGACAAAGTGAAGACGGTGGGAGAGGTACGACCTAAACCACTCAAGGACAGGGCCTTGAAGGTTTAGGTGGGAGGTGGGAGGTGAGAATAGTTTGAAAGATGAATACGTTGATAAGTTAACAGATAATAGCTTTTGAGGATGCAACATCTCAACTCCTCAACTGCTAATTTGATTCATGTGTGTCCTGTTCCATGTGAACAAAGGGATACATGCAGCATTTGTAATGCGTTACACATAATAATGTCCTTCTGATGTGAAAGTCACTATGTAAATGACCTTCTAATTCTAGCTATCTTTGTCTATTGTTCTTAGAGTATTTTTAGCTGAACAATTTGAATGTCTACAGCCCCATCTCGATGCCATGATGCCTTCAGCCAAGAAGCCATTTTTGCAGCAGTTTTATTCACAGGTAGGACATCAAATTCTTCAGATATAAAACTGCTATTTATTAATTTTAAAATGCACTTGGAAGACTTTTTATGAATATCTGGCTACCACATTTACTCTGCTTTTCCTTTTGTTTTCTCCCCCAAACAGACTGTATCAACTGCAAGTGAGCTACGTAAGCCAATTTATTGGATCGTGGCTGCCAAAGCCATTGATTATGAACAGATGCTACATCTTATGGCAAATGTTAAATGGGACGTGAAAGAAATTATGTCACAGCACAATGTATACGTCGATTCTCTCCTCAAGGTAACTGCTAGCGTGAGACCTGTTGATCTGCTAGTTAATAATAGTCATGTCATTTCATATAGTTCCTTATCGCGTTGTTGAGACGTCTCAAAGCGCTTCACAGAATATACTGTAAAGTTAACTTCAAGTTAACTTAGAATTTCAGTTAGCAAAGTCTTTTACTATATTAAAATATAGTTTTAAAATAGTGACCCATTTTAAAAGGTTACGTCAACTAATATGACCGATAGTGGCAAACAGTCCTAGCAGAATATCTTTGATCATTGAAGTGCCACTGTAAATCTGATTTGGAGTTTTACAATCTTAAATCTTCAATGAATGAAAACTGTTATTTGACAGAACTGTATATAAGGGTTTTGTTTCTTGAATAGCTGTTTTCCTTCCTCTTAGGTAAATCCAACTATACCCCTTTTAGATCACTCTTCATCAGCATAAATAGAGTTAGCTGTAATGTGTTTTGATTTCATGAACGTGGAGGATTTGCCCCAAATTTAACTGATGGTATTTATTACATAGGTGACCAGAAATATAACAGGGGTTGGGTTTAAGTGCGCTTGTGTTTCAAAACATGAGCATTGCAAGCAATTTTTGCGCCAAATGTTATTTCTCCAAGAAGTTTGACCTTGGGTAACCACATTTTTTCTAAATGTTTTTGTATATGTGACTAAATAATCCGATTTGCATCAAAATATGTGGTTAGGAACAAGGTTACAATTTCATAAATATTAATGTCAATTTGCATTATTTTTTATGAGATCAATTTAATACCACTTATGAAACTGAATGACATTCTTCATATTTTTTGTTCCTCTTCATGAATACATTTAACCCTGTGCCAAATATCTGAGAACAGATTTTCTGTCTGGCTTCCTATACGTGTAATAGTTAATTTCCCCTTGGAATACATTTATGCTTAATATTTTCTGTTAAAAGCTTTAGTATATTAAAAAAATTGTGCTGTAGGTATATTGGCCAGAGTGAAACTGCGTTGCTTCTGAAGGTATATATAGTAATGTGAAACAGTAAATCAGGTTTATCCTGCCTAAGCCAATTTATTTTCATTTCGATTTCAGATTATAAAATACTGATTCTGGTATTCTGCACATGCATGATGTTAAAAATACTCTGTTCATACCTCACTGGCTGTCCATCCAAGCACTCTAAAAGGAAAACAGGGGCACTGGGCCAGCGCATTTCACACTCCTGCATTTATTCTTCAGCTGGTGTCAGGAGCCAATTTATACTGCACATTGGCAGTAAATAATTGCCCAAATCACAGCAATTTGCCATTAAATATTCAGTATAAATAGAGCAGAACCCAAAATATTTTCGATAGCATTTTCTAACGTAAAGTGAAATAGTCCCATCCAACAAAATGCCATCGATATACAGAATTCTATGGAATGATTTCTGACTAAATATTCATGAGACATTGAACATGAAAAGAATCCTTTAATAAGGGCCAGGCATTAGTGAGTTGTATGTGACCCAGTTTCTGTGGATCAACTCCATATTTAGGTCTGTATTACAAATTGTTCTATTTATACCGCAGTTGTGGTGCAGAATACATTAGAAAACAATTGTTTCAAATCTGTATGTCTGAGCTGTCAAATGTACCAAGGAATCTAATAACTCAAATATCTTCCTGTAAGATTTCTTTTTTCTTACCAGAAGATTTCACTCATATCCATTTTCACTCATTTCAGAATCTTAACCATTTAATTGGTAAAGATTAAAACTTTGAATTAATGGACAACTTTAGTCCTAAATAGCTTATAATTGTTGTGCTGTGAATAAACTCTTTGATGGTGGCACTTTCTTAAAGTGAATCAAAAGGGCAGGTGAGTAACCTGCGTTCACTTCACCTTCGATCGTGCTCTCAAAGTAATCATATAATACCTTTGATATAGTGCCTTTCACATTGGTTGGACATCTCAAAGTGCTTCATAGGATATTCTGTAAAGTGGAACGACTACTTTTTAGGGGAATGCAAGGGCAGGGATTCTTCACACTCAGCTCCGGTTAATTCTGCAAGCTAAATTGTGAGGGTGTTCCTAACTGGACAGGCGGAGAGAACATTTGCTAGTTGGTGCTTCCAATGACAACCTAAGCATTTTTAACTGATTAAACTGATTAAACAAGTAATATACAACACACACTCCAGGGTTCCAAGCCTTGACTCTTGCCAGCTTATACCTAATATTTTCCAGAATTAGGTAAGCAGGATGCAGCCCTCCAGGGAGAGAATGCCCATTCCTTTCCAGTACACAAGAAGTTCCATGTGTAGATGGGATGCGTGAAACTTTCAGTGTGGTCTGGATACTCTTAAATGTGGTGATGGGTTTCCCCATGTATCCGACACCTGGTTGACAAATAAAAAGGCAGGCTGATAATACCTATCTGTCTTGGTTCGGGTTACAAGTTTTCTTTGAAATTTGTAAATTAACAACAATGTGTGACAGATGTGATGTTAATGAGAAAAATGAAATTGAAAATTAAATTAAACCGTTACTCTTTGTAATGCCAAATAAAGATCTATTACACAACGTGGATTTGGGTAAATTGGTAAGAGATTAAATCTTCAGCATCTTCTCTATTGAAAAGAGACTGGAAGATAAGATAGATAATGCCTAAGGTTTTTTTTTCTCAACAGTTAATTACTAAGGAGGAAATGCCTGTAGCCTCTGTGACACAAAATATAGGAGTATTATGACAGATGAAAACATTTATCCTGAACTGAATGATTACAAGAAAAAAATGGTTTATTGAATCAGCCAATTTGATATTCAGTGACCTACACATATGCCTACAGTGACAAACTATAGGAAGCAGCACCCGGAGCTTAGTGATATTGGTGGTGAATCTGTGCAGTAAATTCATGGGAAGTTGCCCTGAACATATTTAAAATATCTGAGCTGATGGTTTACAACCAAGACAGTCTGTAAGCGAAAGGGCCTGTAGTTCTTTCAGACTATGTCCAGGTCTTGCCAAAATTGTGCAGCAGTTGCATATCTCAGTCTGAACTCAGTCCCTAGCAGGAAAAGAGAGCTGTTACAGTTAGACACAGTTCAGGACTAAGTTGGCAGTCTGACTCTAAGGCTATAAAAATGGTTGGAAGATCAGTCAAGACATTGCACTGTTGCACAAGGCGTACTTTTCTGAGGCTGGGGTTAAGAGCACGATGTTAGAAACATAAAAACAAAGGAAGCCATTCAGTCTGTTGAGTCTTTTTTACCAGTTTATTCGAACGTGGCAAATGTATAAAATCTCTTTTCCCCATACCTGTTAATAACCCGTACTTTCAAAGTGTTTATATTAATTTTATACCACACAGTGACAAATTGCTACATAGTAGGGGGAACTTTACTCTTCTACTGGTTGGGCTGTACTTGATGTTGCCACTGGGTTCCCAAAGTGGAAATGTTCCGTTCCTAAGACTGATATCCTTAAATGATGAGAAGAAAATTTACCAAACCACTGGATAAAATATGCAGAAATCTTTATTAATACTAATCCTTGATTTGACATAGCATCTTTCATGTCAGAGAGAAGTCTCAAAGTGAGAAAAGTGCCATATCAAATGCAATGATTAATATTAAAGTGTTATAACTTGTTTTTGTAGGCGAATGTGGCAGCCAATTTGCACTGTGCAAAGTCCTACAGGCAACCTTGAAGTACATGACCAATATAATCTGGGGATTGTTGGACAGGATACCAGGAACAAATCTTTTTTGAATAGTGTTCTGAGGTGTTTAATGTCCAACTGAACAGGCATTTTAAAAAAAAAAGTGATGTGGCCATGATGTTTAACATCTCATCTGAAGGGGCACTTGCAACTCTTCACTGGAGTGTTAGCCGGACTATGAGCCCAAAGTTCCAACATGGCATTTGAACCCACAACCTTCTGACTAAGAGGAAAGGTGCTACATACTGAGCCAGACTGACACCTTATTAATAAAAATAATAATAATAATCCTTGCATTTGATATAGCGCTTTTCACGTCGGGAGGACGTCCCAAAGCGCTTCACAGAACACACTGTAGAGTGAATTGACTGTATATTTGTGGGCGAACGCGGCAGCCAATTGCGCACAGCAATGTCCCACAAACAGTCGTAGATTGAAAATGACCAATTTATTATTGTTTTGTTTTTTTGGAGGATTATTATTAGGCTCTGTGTGGAGTAAGGAAACTTGCCCAAGGTTTCGCCCTGCCTGGAATTGAACTCAGGTCTCTCGCTTGCAAAGCGAGTGCTCTCACCACTGAGCTACAGGACTGCAAACTACAGTGGCAAAATTATAACTACAGTGGCAAAATATATGTTTTTGAATGAGTCCTAACTGAGACTAAGCAGTCAACAAATAATCTAACAATTTGATAATAAATCATGATCTTTGTTTGGTTATTTTTAATTGGATTTACTTTATAATTGTGTTGGATGACGCAGGTGATATTTTACCTTTAACCTTTCTTGTGTAACAGAGATTGAAAGGGGATATGATAGAGCTGTTTAAAATTCTGAAATGGTATGACAAAGTAATTTAGGAAATGCTATTTCCATAGTTGGGGGAAATTGACAAGGTGGCATAATCCTGAAGTTGTGAGCAGAAGTATCATGCGAGAGGTGAGAATACATTTCCTAACCTCAGAGGTTGTTATGAATCCATTATCCAGGTGGAATCCATTATCTAGGTGCTTATTGAAGCTTGAGCAATAGAATGATTCAACAGGTAACTGGACAACACCTGAGCAGTAAAAACATGAAGGCTTATTATTTTGAAAGAGCTGTAACGTGAATTAAAAGAAAGGGCTTCTTAAAAACAAGTCATGTGAACATGATGGATCATGTACTGAAAATGTTTGTTTCCATATAGTATATTTTTTCTTGGAATGGTTCTGTCAACTAATTATCTGCAATTAAATAGTAAGATGGTTTTGAGCTGATTTAATATGAACAGTGCCTGTTTGGTGACATAAAAAAAATGGAACTTTTTTTAATAAATTCCACCAGGAAGTGACACTTTCATTTTTGAACTGGTAATTAAACAATGAAGGTAATTGAGAGGCTAATGGAATTGGCATTTAGATTTTAGTGCCTCAGTACATTAGCTTTGATAGTATTTGAATGACAGAACATTTTGAGCAATCATTTCTGAATATTAATAGCATCAGAGGTCAGTGAAACCATTCTGTGAGAAATGGTTTCAAATACCTAATGAATAATATCTGTCTTTATAATTAGCAAGCTGCTATAGTTGACTGGGAGGATGTTCATGAATTATTATTTTCAATCATCTCATCAGGCCTTTCGGATTTAAATTTGTTCCTATTACTCCCTTTACTGACCTGTCTTGGTTCTTGTTGATATATAAAAGTTTCAAACTACATTTGACACATCTCGTACCAAAGTTTTCCATTTCCTCCTTGTGTTCTGTATTAACCAGAATTATATAAATGGATTGTGAAATCTCTATGAAATGCTTTAAATAATCTAATCAGAGACAAAAAATTCTCCCTCTGTAGCAACTGGGGGAGTGAGAGTTATTATATTGCTCACTAGTCTTGTACCAATGTAATGTGAAATAAAATCAAAAGAATGCCTACAGATATATTTTGTTACCAATTGCAATGGCAAGATGCATTTTTCATTGGACAGATGGTGGCTACAGGTATAGAAATGTAATTCAAAGTCCTCTGGGCAAAAGTCTGCATAATGAAATTAACCCATGAATTAACAAGTTTAGAAGTGTAATGAATCAAGATTACATTACTTCCTAAAGTAATTCAGGAATTCATTTCAGTTTAGTTTTCTCATTTGCAGAGGGGAGTATTATTTTAATCAAGATGTGGTCTAAATAGATTTTGTTTTTTCTTTTCTTTTCATTCTTTGTGCCACTTGGTTCCTCCCAAACTGTGCAGTATTTCCAAGCTGCAGTAAAAGCCACTGCTGATGCCATCTTGTAATTGATCACCAGGAGCTCACAAGAACATCCTTTTCTGTGGAGATTTATCTGGTCTCTAATTACCTCCTACTGATGACCTGCCAGAGTTTGAGAACGCATATAGGGAGTTTATATAGGGAGTCGGCAGCACAAACCTGAATGCCATCATGCTACAGCTCACCAGGGCATTGTATCCCAGTGCTCAAATTTGAAAACAGTTTAAATAAAGTACAAAATTAAATGCTGAGATATGTCTGAACAGCATATTAAAGCAATATAAAAATATATGCTTTCACAAATGCGAGGGTGATTTTTTTGAACTGAATTACAGCCAAGCTACCCTTATCCTAAAACGGTGAAAACATGTTGGTTCACAACTACCTTTGTATTGCCTGAAGATGCCAGATTACTTGGAAAATGCGGAACATTGACAATGTGTGCTAGAGACATCTTGTGAAGCTATAATGTGTGAACAAGAAGGACGGCACTTGAATTGCCCGGAAAAAGGATTCAATCTCAAGGCTGAATAGCTCAAAGGGCTCTACTCCAAAACAAAGCTTGTTCAGTTGTTACTAAGTATCTCAAGAGGATTAATTGATTTTTAACTTGAAAAGACTTACTATTAAGTTATCTTGTCAGAAAACAAGATGCAAAAGTGTTAGAAAACCATTCTAATGTCCCAACACATTGATAATGGTTAGTTATGTGTTAAATTAATTAAAACAAAACTTTCAATAAGAGCTTCTTTTAAAATATATTTCAAAATTGAACTTTTATAACTGTGACAAACTTAGTGTTTATATACAGCTTGTCCAAACCTTATGGAAAAACAATCTGTATTTTCACATTGTCCATTACGGCAAGGAATAAATCTGCATGACCAACTGAGAATTATGTGGATGACCCCCTTTTTAGGATGGTTGAAATCCCTGAATGAGCATCCTTTATATGGATTTCTCTGTATTTACTGTAGTGTTTGTGTAGACCTGTAGTTTATCGGCTAGAGCACTCACCTCGCAGGCGAGAGGACCCAAGTTCAATTCCTGGGCAAGGCAAAATGTTAGGCAAGTTTCCTTACCCCACATGCTTCTGTTTACCTAGCAGTAAGTAGGAATGAACCCAGTTGTTAGTCAATTGGCGGATTGCTTTCCGGGAGTAAGAATCCCCTAAAAAAATAATACTGATAATAGTTTGGTCACTCAGTCCATGACTGTTTTTGGGACACTGCTGTGTGCAATTGGCTGCCATGTTTCGCCCACAGAATATACAGACAATTCACTTTACAGGATATTCTGTGAAGTGTTTTGAGACATCTCAACAACGTGATAAAGCGCTATAAGAAATGCAAGGATTATTATGTTTGGTGTTTTTATTTTATTTTATCATAATTACCATAATGAAGCCTAGTTTTGCACATCCATTATCCCCTCATTGCTGATTGGAGTCATCAATGACGCTGTAAAATTACTTCACATCATTTGATGCATCTGTAATAAACGTGAGGTCCACTAAAGTTGTGATGAGACCACTCGAAGATGCTCATTGTGGTTGATTACTTTGCAGTTATACACACTTCCAGTTAAGGAATTGACAGCAACTTCCTACAGTATTTATGCTGGTAATGAAGAGCTTGCTTTATAGTATTCTGAAAATGACTTCTTATGAAGGCTCTTAAGCATGGTGGTGGGTTTCCGCAAGTATTGGCTGATGAAACAAAATCCTACTTGCCTGCTCTTTCTTCATACCCTAATTCCTCTGCACGTTTTACAAGTGATTTTCAATGGCTCAACATTGATTCTGTCAGTGGAGTTTTCAGCCAACAACAAACTGAAATTTTGGAAGATTGAAGATCTGATCAGAGTTGCAACCTGCCACTCTGATGCAGTTTCCGCATGTAAAGCAAGAAGTTGAAGGCACAAACAATTGAATTTACAACATCCCCAAATTCTACCTCATTTGCAACATTCTGTGGAACAGGCTCATCAGGGAGATGGTTGAAGCAGGAAGTGTTGATTCTTTCAGACACAGATTAGATAGTTTTCTTTTAGGAAATAACATCATGGGATATCATACATAGGTAGTTTGGGACATATGTGCAGGCAACCTTCAGGAAGCGAAGGTGAATTAGATAGACTTGGTCTTTTTTCATCTAGCATTTCTTATGTTCTTATTCCAAATCATATGTTTTTATGTTTCTAAAAGTATGAAGTCAGTTCTTTGTTGAATGATGTGGAGAGTGTTTTTAATGGTGATACATTCCCTTATATCTAATGTCACATACTCTGCATCACTGATGACTGCAAAAGCACTGTGTGCCTGCCAACTTCAGAATAGTAGAATCTTACAGCACAGAAGGAGGCCATTCGGCTCATCGTGTCTGTGCAGGCTCTTTGAAAGAGCTATCCAACCAGTCCCACTCCCCCGCTCTTTCTCGATAGCATTGCAAGTTTCTATCCAATTCCCTTTTGAGAATTATTATCAAATCTGTTTCCACCACCCTTTCAGGCAGAGCAGTCCAGATCATAACAACTCGCTGCCTAAAAAAAATTCTTATTATCTCCCTTCTGGTTCTTTTGCCAATTATCTTAAATCTAGGTCCTCTGACTACTGATCCACTCGGCAGTGGAAACTCTTATCACAACTCCTCATAATTTGAACACCTCAAATATTTAGTAATGTACTGCCAAAGATCGATCCACCCTTCCACGTGCAACATTGTTAAAGAACTCAATGGCCAAGTAGGAGTTAACACTTGTGTTTATAGTAGTTGTGAGGTAATTTTGCTGAGATTTCAGACAATTGTTAGCAAATGCTGACTGAGCACTAAAAAAAGATGAATTGGTTAAGAGATGTATAACAGGACCAGGAGCAACCAGCAGTTTACCCTAATGAGTTTTGTTGACCTATAGGGTATTGCAAATAGTCCTGGGAATAGCTTGTTCTCTGCATGATGTCCATTCATATGGATAAGTTGGACGAACATGCTTAACTGCTTACTTCTGCATTTATTTTGTAGGAGTTTGAGCAATTCAATAAGAGGTTATTCGAGGTTTCCAAACGAGTGCGCATTCCACTGCAAGTCTCTAACATCCTATGGGAGCATTGCATTCGACTGGCAAACAGGACCATTGTAGAGGGGTGAGTAATCAATTGTTTGTGTTCTAAACAATTTTAAATGATCACTGGTTCTAGCAGTTTATTAATTTTGGTTTGTAGATGTTACTTGGGACGTCCTCCCGACTTGAAGGGGGCTATACAAATGTAATTTTGTTGTTGCTGTGTTATAGAGTAATGATCTGCTTAGGATAAATAATTGTAATTGCTGCTTACAGCAGAACCCAGTTATAAGATGCCCCTAAAAAGGTGGGTGCCCATTGGATCGAATTCAAAATTCTGGTCCTCACTTTTAAATCCCTCATTTCTTAGTCTTAGTCGCTGCAACCTTCTGCAACACAATTTCCCCAGCTGCTCCCTCCTCTTAGCAAACATTGATCTGCTTTGTGTTTCTCGCTCGACAAACCAGGCTGGAGTTCCAGAGAGCAAAGGCAGACCGCTTTATCCTCGGATTCCTTCCCAATTGTCCTCTCACTCCCCATATTCAAAACCGTTCAGATCTATCTTTAATAAACATGTTATAATAGGAATCTTCTGTATTTACTTTTTTTTAATGCTGTTACTGGATTACAAACTAAAAATTTGGCAAGTTTTGAAATAGATTTCCAATTGTGTAGATTAAATATAAAATGAAAATGGTGAAAAGCTAGAAACTGATAATCTTTCAAATGCACAGCAGGACAAAGGGTCAGACCTGAAACATTAAGCCATCTTTCTCTTTTAATACTGATTATCCTTCTGTACATCTCCAGCCTCTTTAGTTTGGATTTGAGATTACGCTGCTTTCCTTCTTGTGGTTTATATTAATGGAACTGGATTGGATTATTGCCATGCAATAATGCTAAACCATTATTTTCTACTTTTCAGCCATTATTCTTCCTCCCTCCCAGAAAACACTCTTTCAGTTCGCCAGTATCCTGATCTAACTTCACTCTGCATTGCCTTTTTGCTTGTTAATGTGCATATTAATGTGAAAAAGTATAGAAACAGTCTTGATGTTTTTCATTAATGTAGTGCAAGAATTTTTTTCTCCAAATCTAGGGTTATTCTGTATTATAAAATCAACAACATGCAGGGCAACCCCGTTATAATATGGTTCTCTGGGCCCAGTATCATAGAGACTGTGTTACAAGAGAAGCACCAAATAAAATGAGACGTGCTGCGCATGTACGCTATGTCCAAAAAGTGCCGTGAATGTCCATTCACAAAGCGCACAGGAGGCAATACAATGCATCGCAGTACACAGGAAGTGACGTTTACATTACTATATAAAGCACTCTGAGACGCCGTCCGGCGTGGAGGGTGCTATATTAATCCAAGTTGTTGTTGTTGTTGCTTCCTGTGCTATGCACAAGACACAGGAAATGATATTAATGGTGATTTGACAACCAGGTTATTTATCATATGGGACATCAATGCAATAACCAGGCCCAATAGATAATTGCAGAAATATTTACCAAAATTTGCAGGGAAATTTGATGACTTTTGCAGAATATTGCGGGGGCTTGATTGGTGCAATTGAGCGGTATATTTTACTACTAACCTAGATTTTTTCATTTTATTGATAAAGACTAAACATGAGGAAATAACACACATTAGATTGTTGCAATAAAAACGCTTTCTTTAACAAAACCTGGGTGGCCCACTCGGTGGAGGGTGGGGGGGGACACTAATACAAGCCCGAATGGTCTGTCTCCACCCTGCACTACACTTGAAGGCCACTGTCCTGATTGCGGGGCTCCAGGAGGTCACCACCTCCTGCCTCTCCAGTCCCGCCACCACTCACACACACACACAGGGACACGCACACTCTCACACACTCACAGAGAGAGACACACACAAACACTCACAGCCAGAGAGAGAGTCACACACTCACATACACAGTGAGACACACTCTCACAAAGAGACACATACTCACATACACTCATAGACACAGAGAGACACACAGGCTGTGCTATACCCAGGATTCCCCTGTTATTACTTGTGTTGCTTCTCACTTTCTTTGTAGTTTGTGTATTTCTTCTCTACCCACTCTGTATATTTATTTGCTTGGCCGCTTAATTCTGTTTTTATAGTTCTTCTGTTCCCTGTCTGTTCTCTTCATTCATTCTTCTGCTATTTCTTCCTTTATGCACCACCATCTCTCACTTCCTATTTTCAGAACTGGAGCCCAGTGCCTGTATCCTGAACTAATCAGTACCAAAGTCATCTCAGAATCACTAAAGAAATGAAATGATTAAACATTGTATGTTGTCAAGGAGAATCTTAGCACCTTCTGTTTCTATGATGGCATCTATTGCCACTTAATTTCCTTTTCATATCAATAATTCCACAGAGGATCCTGTTTTAAAAAAAAATAGGAATTTGTATAAGAATGGAAATACGGATCTTTTGATGCTTTAGTGCATCAGTAACATTTGATGTCAAGGCGATGAAACTTGTGTTATTTTGTAGCATCTCCATTAATCTTCTGATCTCCTGGTGACTTTTAAAGGGGATGAAAGGGCTTGATGATATTTCCGGTATGATATTTCATATTTCAATTGAAGTTCATATTAGGATAGGTTTTGCATGATCTATATAGGAAGTGGGTGTGTTGGCCCTTTCCCTCATGGTATGCAATCCATCTTATGTAAAGATATTACTAGCCAGATTAATTTATAACATTGAATAGCTTATCCTCAGCGGAGATACGTTCAAAGGCTTTATGAACATCTAAAATCTTATAGTATTGTGTATCCGCCTGACTCAGTGGTAACACTCTGACTTCAGAGTCAGAAGATTGTGGGTTCAAGCCCCATGTCGGGATTTGGAACTCAATTAATCTAGACTGACTGACGCTCCAATGCAGTGTTGGGGGGAGAGGGCCGCTGCATTGCTGGAGGTGCTGTACTCCATAAAAGACTTTAAACTGAGATTCTCAGGTGGCATTGTCAGGAGATTCTCGCCTGTTCAGGTGACAATGAAGACTCATGGCACTACTTGGAAATAGAAGGGAGTTTCTCAAGTTATCTTGGCAAACAATCCAGATAAAATTGGTCATTCAGTTTGTGGCTATTTGTGGAACATTGCTGTGCGCAAATTGACTGCCCTATTCACCTACAAAATACAGTCATTGCACTTTACACTGTGAGGTGCTTTGAGACGTCCTGCTGACTTGAAAGACGTTATATCAAGTACAAGAATTATCATATTATGATTTGCATAATGTATAGTATTTTCATAAAATATGTTTGTAGATTATCTGGTTTACATGATTTTACTGTCCGCATAGTTACAATTAGATTGTTCCAATGTGTACCAGCAATTCTACCTTTTATTCAGATTCTTATTTTTTTCAAATCACACATACACAAACATTCTTTCCTCCTTGTTTTCCGTTTCGTTTTGTGATTTTGGAGCAAAAACAACTCTTAGACCAATTACCACAATAGCCTAATGTGATAGGGGACTAGTTGGGAAAGCTTTCAATGCAGTTTAGATTCCAATTCTGAGAAAGCTATTTTTCAGCAGGCTTAAATTATTATTGAAAATTATTTTATTTTTGTGGCAAAAACAATAACTGCTCTGCCTATTCGTGTCTATTCCTGTTTTACTAAGATCTCTGCCTAGGCTGAAATACATTTAGCATTAATAAGAACACAAGCCCTGCTGTTCTCTCCGATCTGAATTCATTCTGCACTTAGCAAATCAGACTTGAAATAAATGTCACAAAGAAACATTTTTGTCCCTGATGCCTTGCCTCCTTAGCTAACTACTCTTCAGTTCACAGGGCTGTAAGCTTAATTCAATGGAGGGAAGTTGTTTTATTTTTGCCATATTAATTTCCATCCCCAGAAGCTTGTGCTTTATTAAAAGTTTGAGGGCTTGCTCCATTCTACTGCTCTTAGTTTCCAAACATAAACTCTGCTAAAGAGAGCAGGTGAAGAACATCTCTACATCACAGTAATATACAGTAGAAGCCTGTTTTTGTAGGGTTATGCTTGTAGCGTGAATTGGATGTAGACCTAGTTACTGCACATGCATACAGCCAGTCGGCTCGCTTCACACATGCTAAAAATGGCAAAAGTTTAGGTTGTTTGGTTGGGGAACAAGAAGCAATGGCAATAACAACCTCATGACCCACAGTGAAAAACTGTTATCGGCACAAAACAGCTGGGAATAGTCCATTGCGAAGAAAGGCCTATATGATGTTGGAAGATTAGAAATAATAATAATGCTTGATTTTATATAGAACCTATCATTTTGGGAGAATATCTCAAAGCGCTTCACAGGAATTTACCATAAAGTGAAGTGACTGTATTTGTAAGCGAATGTGGCAGCCAACCATGCACAGCAATGTCTCAGTCATGAAGTGAATGATCAATTTTATTTGTGGAATTGCTAGCCTGGACCCCGGGAGAAAATCCCTTCTCTATTTAAGTAGTGCCATGGGATCTTTAATGTCCACTTGAAACGGCAGAAGGGAGATCGGTTTAACATCTCGTCCAAAGGACGGCACCTCCAACAATGCAGCACATCCTCAAGACTGCAATGGAGTGTCAGCTTTGATTACAGGAGTTCCAAGTCCCGATGTAGACCTTAAACCCACAGCTTCTGACTCACAGGCAAGAATGCTACCAACTGAGCCATAGTGACTCTTTCCGGAGACTCCTGCACATACAATGGAACACCTTTATAACACCCTATGACAGAGCGCCACCTCGCTTATCATTTATACTGTAGATCCATATAATCTGTTTCAGCACTGACCGCCTGCTGTCTGCGTGCATGCACATTGATGTCACTTTATGAAAGAAGTGGCCCAAGTAGTGTATTCTGCAAGGAGAGCGCAGGACGTGTGATCAGATCAGCGTAACAATTTGGAAGTCAGCCATTTTTCTGACTCTCTTATAATTTGGTCAATGAGACATTGGATCCAGTGAACGTTATAGGAGGTTTGGCTTTATTTGAGTTCTTAATTTGAGTCCAAATATTATTATTATTGACGGGGCTTGAAAGTTGTGTCTAGATTTTCCTACAATTATGGACAATTTGCCTTATTGTTTAACGCCTGCACTAGTTATTTGCTGAGCTGTGCTTGATTTTCATTCTCATTTCTGTTGTAGTTATGCAAATGTGAAGAAATGTAGCAATGAGGGACGTGCCTTAATGCAGCTTGACTTCCAGCAGTTCCTGATGAAATTGGAGAAGCTGACCGACATAAGGCCAATTCCTGATAAGGAGTTTGTAGAAACCTACATTAAAGCCTATTATCTGACTGAAAATGATATGGAGCGTTGGATTAAGGAACACAGGGTAGGAATAAAAATGACAAATAGGTGTTTGTTTTGCAGCTGTAAAAATATTGTTCCTTATTCCAGTATTGTGGATTTTTAAAACAAATGATGCATTATGGTATTCATATTCTGTTGTTAGAATCGTAATATTTTGCTGATATTACTGTCCGTATAAACTTATTGTCTTTTCAATTGATATAAATTTGTTTCAGAATTGAGCAACTTTTCCCATTCTAATCCCTGATGTGTTGTGTTTTGCAGGAGTATTCAACCAAGCAGCTGACCAACCTTGTGAATGTTTGCTTAGGCTCCCATATCAATAAAAAAGCACGGCAAAAGCTGATAGCAGCCATTGAGGAATGTGACCGACCTAAACGGTAGTCTTTAGCAATGCTCTTGAGTTCAGATCACACTAGATGATATGATGACTATTTCACCATCCAAATTAATACAGGATGGATCTGTAATGCGTTACAAGCATTTTGATGCATGTTACTTGTTTTTTCCATCAGAAGCTGATGTTAAGGAATTTTAAAAAAATGACTAGCAAATGCTATTTTAGGAAATGAGATGTGTTACTGTTTAGCTTTTGTCTTGTTTAGGCCAGACCTTTTGTGTAAGATTGTGTTTGGGGCTGTATAAAAGTAACCATGTTAAAATGACATGATGATTATACAGGGTTTTTTTTGTATAGTTTCTGTTTTGACATTTGTGGGTTGTAAGGATTTCATATTAATTCTGAAGGAAATTGTATATTGGATAGACTGAAACAAGTATCTTCTCTAGATAAGTAATGTAAGTATAAAACAGTAAATACTAATGATTGGAGAATATATACACTTCATAATGAATTACTGTAAGTGAAGATATATAAAATCTGTACATTCTGTTTCAGTTTGTTCTTCTAAAATTTCAATATTTGTTCCTCATTGAACTGGAAGATATCATGAATTGGTGACTGCATAATAAACGAGTCAAATTCAGAGCATTTATCTTTTGTCTCATCAATCTATGTTACCTAAAACCTCTTTCATTCCCATAGAAACTCTGGGAGAGATTCATGCTAAGCAATTACCTCGATGTTAAAGCTCGATATGTTGCTGTAAAGCAACTGTGCTAGACATCAGAAAATCCCACGAGGATGCAGATTGCTCAAAATCATTGGTGCTGTAGACCTCTTGAACCCCAACATCTTAATAATATGCAACCTCTTCTTGGAGCCTGCAGTGGGTCTGCAGCTGTTCACACATATAGAACATCTCCAGTTATTCTGACACTAAAGGGTTTAATGAGTTTGTCTGTCTACAGAATTAATAGATGCCTGTGGCTGCCACATATTACTTTAGCTATGATGGAAAAAAACACTAACTTTTCTGTTATGCTCCTTGTTTTCGGAAGGGGTGAAAATCCCTGATTGTTTTTGTATTCAATAGTTCCAGTGGTTGAATAGCTTCAAAAACATACGCAGTTCTGGGCACCTTAATTCAGGAAGGACATTAAGGCACTGGAAAGGGTGCAGAGGAAATTCATAAGAATGTACCAGGAATGGGGAACCTTAGCGATGAGGACAGGCTGGAGAAGTTAGGTCTTTTCCCATTAGAGCAGAGAAGGTTACGCGGGGACCTGATAGAGGTCTTCAAGATCATGAAAGGTTTCAACAGGCTAGATAGGGTAAAGCTGTTTCCGCTGGTAGGTGTGTCTGTGACCTGTGGTCACAGTCTTAAGATATCTACCAAAAGAAGCAGAGAGGAGGTTAGAAGAAATTTTTTCACTCAGCGAGTTGTTCGAATTTGGAATGATCTGCCTGAAAAGGCAGTGAAGTCCGATTTGATAACAGCTTTTAAGAGAGAACTGGATAGGTATCTGGGGAAGACGGGTTTGCAGGGTTATGGGGAGAAAGATGGTGATTGGGGATAGTGAAAGTGACTTGCTCTGTCAAAGAGCTGGCACAGGCTCGATGGGCCGAATGGCCTCCTTCATTGCCGTAACATTCTATGAATCTATGAATTAAGAATTGAAGCTGAATTTATTTTCCTAATTTAAAAAAATCTTTGTGATTTCAGCTAAGAAAACATCCCATTATGCTGGTCTCCTGGATTATAGACCCTATTATAGTGCCATGTTGCTAATGCCAGAAGATCCTCTGTGCATATTCTGCTAACACACTGGAGGAACAATCCATTGTTCTGTTTGTTTAATCCAAACATAATGCTGATGAACCTGCCACCAATCAGGAATTAACATGCTTGTTGCATTGTTTATAGGAATGTACTGGAGTTACCTATATTGTCAAAAGCAACAAGATATCCATGAACTTTAAGGACAGACAGTAAATTAACAATTTGATTAGATGTGCACCATATCAGCCTGTCAAGGGCTTCAGAGGTCTCCAAGATAATAACCGATGAGTCATTAAAGTATTAGTCCTGTAGCTCAGTGGTTAGAGCACTCGCTTTGCAAGCGAGAGACCTGAGTTCAATTCCAGGCAGGGCGAAAATTTGGGCAAGTTTCCCTACTCCACACGCCTAATAATAATCCCTCCAAGACAAAAAACAATAATAAATTGGTCATTTTCAATCTACGACTGTTTGTGGGACACTGCTGTGTGCAATTGGCTGCCGCGTTCGCCCACAAATATACAGTCAATTCACTTCACAGTATATTCTGTGAAGCGCTTTGGGACGTCTAGAAGACGTGAAAAGCGCTATATCAAATGCAAGGATTATTATTATTTTAAGAGCAAAATTCCAAAGGTGATGTACATAGAACATCACCAAATGGAACAGCCATAACCAACCTCATACTGACACACCTGGATTGTAGAGGGAACTTGCACTTTTACAGCTTCATATCACATGTTCACCACATAATAGTCATTACACTTTATAGTATATCTTGAGAAGCACTTTGAGATGTCCTCCTGACGTGAAAGGTGCAATACCAAATACAAGGAATATTATTTTTATTTTTTTAGAAGTTTTTTGACATTTTGCAGGCAAATAGGGCAACCACTTGCACCAGCAAGCTCCCATAAACAGTCGTGAGATGAATGACTAATCAATCTACTTTCTCCATTGAGATACTGTCATAGGCAATTTAATATGTATCTGAACATGCAGACATAGGATCTTGGTTTAATATCATGCCTGAAAAAACAGTACTGCCCTATTGTACGGGTTTGCCAGCATAGGAATAGAGTTCGGTCCCAACAAGGGTCTTAAATCTGCTTGAGGTGAGAGAGCTGCCAACCAAACCAAACCATCCCTGGCCCCAAACAGTAGAAGGACTTGTATCTTCACTGATTGGATCCAGTCCGCTGGGATTGTGAAATCAATATAGTTACTGGGCAGTCTCCCAGGAAATGAACAGGAGGTCAATAGACATTAACATTCTGAACATGAGGCAAAGAAACCTTTTCAGAAAATTCGAGGAAAATGGGAAGTGTAAAGAATAACAAAATCTGCTGTAAAGAGAAATTCAAAGGGATTATGGTATTGTTTCCGAATGGCTGCTGGATTTTGAAGCTCCACCAGACATTATATTTTCTCTTTATTGAGTTACATTGCCCAGAAATTGACATTCCTGTACTGTAGAATGTATTTTTATGGGCAACAACAATTTGAAAAGGTTAAGGTAAATTCATTACAATATACTGTAGAGCTGCAAACAGCCTGTTTGTTTCATTGTCAGCAAAAACTGAACATCCTGTTACTCTTCACTGAACCCCAGTGCATTTGTCTGGGCTATTTGTGGTGACCTGGAGCTGTTACAATGCAGGCTGCCTCCTTTCATGAGGAGGTGTTGTGGGAAATTAATGAATACCAACCTAAGTCTTAAAGCATGTACAACTCATTTTGCGTCTTTCACGTAGGATATGCATAATATACATAGTTGTCAGCCTGGCTCAGTTAATAGCATGCTCAGTTCGTGAGTCAGAAGGTTGTGGATTCAAACCCCATGTTGGGCCTTTGAACTCACAAACCCTAGGTTGACCCTCCTAGGGCCAACTGCAACAAAATTACATTTGTATAGTGACAGTGCTGGGGATGTGTTGCGTTGTTGGAGGTTCTGTCTTAATGAGACATTAAGCAAAGGCCCTATATGTTTGTTCAGGTGAAATTAAAGATACCATGGACTATTCAAAAAGAGAAGGGAGTTTCTCCCTGTGTCCTGGCCAACAATCCCCCAAATAAAATTGATCATTTCATATCTGTTTGTGGGACATTGCTCTGAGTCGCTATCCTGTATAAATGCGAGTTGCTGTTGTTGCTGTACGCAAATTGACAAAATACATTGTCATTAAACACAAATGTAAATCCTTTGAAATACTTTGAGAGCACTCAATATGAAAAGACCTATATCAAATTCTAGTTTGCTACTCAAGACATTGCAACAGTGGATGAACAGGGTACAGGATACAGGATACATTCCACCTGCATCGAAGAGAAACTTGAGCTTAAATAAGTACAATTGTCAAAGGTTGATAATTTAGTTGAAACGGTTCAGTTATACACTATTGCAGTATTGCCAGAGCTGCATGCCATCTCAATAACATTTGTACCGAGGTGGGGTTGGGCATGGCTTTGCAAAGACTTAATTTTCTTTGAGTGTTTTTCCTGCCTCTTCCCATTTCAGTGCAGCCCGTAAGCAGTGCAAACTAGGAAGAGTAGTTGAGGCCAGGACCCCGGATTCATTCAAGATACAGATTGATGCTGTGATGGGAGGGAGGCTGAGATCAAATCTTCATTGTCTTTTTGACATGGCTTTTGTGCTATTATTTTTAAGCCTTAACTTATCAGTTGTGTTATAGGAGATATCCTTGGAGGACCCTCACTCAGTCAGCTGCCCAGTGAGAGCACTGCCAACTGTGCCAAGTGGACATCATTACTAAGTTTAGTTCCCATCAAAGGCTGTTATAATGTCTGTATATAAACAATTTCAATGCCATTCAGCACCAATTTTATCTCATTTGAAACTGGATAGAACTTTAAAATACTTTTAGAGCATTTTCAAAATACAAGTGTCAAGTCCAATGCCTGCCTTTTTTGTCCGCAAAAGCGTCTCCAATTACTGTATATTGATCTACTCTGGTGATTTGTCTCTTCTGAGAAAATCCAGACAAAAGCACTAAAGACCTAGACATTTTTGTGATGGGGAAAGGTAAAATTCAACACACTGAGGCTTCAGTTCAGTTAGCAAATACTTTTAGCTGCAAGTCTATAATGGTGTCTATTTGGCTCAGCAGTGGTCGATTGGGATTATTATTTTGCAATACCTGGCTGTACGATCAACCTCTCCACAGAATTGATTTATTCTTCATAGGCTTTTACCATATGCCTATGATGGGGTCTCTTGTCGCAGCAGCAACTTCAAAGCAGAGGGTACAGCTTTACTGTAGAGAAAAGGTATTTCATGTTGGAGCATGAGCATGCACTGTGTTCTATCTTTAACAGGGCTGCACGAAAGAGATACTTACTTGGCAACAGCACATTTTCTAAAGCATCCAATTAAGAAGCATAGTTTGAGGAAAGGATCCAATTATTACTTAGGATTGCTTAGAATCCCCAATCTACCTCCTCATACTGATCTGGCCACTCCCTTCGCTGTGAGCACCAACCTGCTTCATGTCCCACACCCCACCTTCCCCATCAGTGTCTCTGCTCTCTGAACTCCATCCCAGAGCCCCTCTGACTCGCTCCCTCATCTTGTTCAAGGCCCGTATGAAGACATACCTCTTTGCGTTTTTGTCAGCCCAGTACGATTAAGAGTTTCCACTTAAATGCCATTAAATTGAAGCTTTCTGGCAGTGAGCTCCACATTCTCATTTTCTTCTGTGTAAAGGAGTTCCTCCTAAACTCTTTTACAACTGTTTGTAGATACCTACAGTTATGTCCCCTTGTTATGGACGTGCCAACAAATGGAAATAATCTACAGTATTGATGTTCCCTTATCAAATCCCTTCACAATTTTACACACTTTTGTTCGGGT